TATATATATATATATATATATTGAAATTATTGGAAAAACCTAAAAATTTAAATTTTCAAAATTTAATATTAAAGTTAATAAAGATACATTGTGCGTTATTTTGGTATGACATATTTTCGAAAGAAAAAAATTGTCGAAAGTAACTGTTCGGCAGTTGAACACCAGGCCCCCATACACATGAATACATATACACGCGCACACATAATTATCTAATTATCATATCCAGGTAGATCCACTATAAAAGAACCTTCGATTATAAATCTCTTCACACATACAAGTATTTTATTGATATTTGTTAATAGATAGATTCATTTTTTCAATGAGTTTAGTAAATTAAGAATGAAAACATCAATATATCTACAATTTTTTTTAGCTTCTGATTAAATGTAATTGTGGTTGTAGTAGAAAAATTAGTAAACTCGGTTTTAAAACATTAAGGGCGTAAACAAAAATCTAAACCATCAACCTAAAGTTCACCAACATAAACTCTAAAACTATTTCTCGAAAACAAAAATAAATCATTCACCATCCTCCGAAATTAAACTAATCGACGAAAATAAATTATTTGCCAAAAAAAAAAATTCTCCGCATACCGATAAATGGCCGCTGCATCGCGCGGGTATCGTGCTAGTGTATATATATATATATATATATATATATATATATATATATATATATATATATATATAACAATCATATTAGGTTTGGTAGTGACTAAACTCAAAACAAAACCAATCACAATGATGGTATAAGTTAGGAAAAATTAGAGTAAATTACCTCAAACCATATGGATCATTCATGTAATTACTCTAAAGATAAAATTGCAAATTTTGTCCATGTGATTTGTCAAAAATTGGGACTCCGGTCCAAAATGTTTTGGAGTTGCACCACTGCTCCAAAAAACTATTTTGTTGCAAGTTTGGTCCAAAGTTACATAAAACATTTAAAATGATAGATATGACCCTATTTTTTAATATTACAATAATTAAAAAAAACTATAAGAAAGTTATATGAGTGTTTATACTCCACCACCCCCCCCCCCCCA